AAAATGACAACACTTTCTTTTATTTAGTTTTTTTTATCTATATATACATATCTACTGCAAAATAAATATAAATTGATTAATAATATGATTAATCTAAAAATAGCAATTTTTATATAAATCCTTTTTAATAATATATTAAAAGAATTGACCACGCAAAAAAAATTCCAAAAAATTTTTTTTTACAAACAAAAAATGACCTTGCAATTTATCATAAAAATGACTACACTGTACATAAAAAACGATATGTATAACAATTATGTCTGCCGTGAGAAATGTCTTCAGTGTATCCAGAATGCAGTCCATATTAATTTTGGATGGAAAGTATTTACAAAAAATACAAGGTTTTCTTTCTACAATATATATATCAGAGACATGTGCAAAGGTACCATATGCATAAAAAAATATTTATATAAAATAATGGTAAAATATTTGCCAGCCGGGGTGTTTTTTTTTAGGCCTGGACCAAGTATATTAAAAAAATTAAAATATCGCGACACCCATGTACCCGGGCCGGCAAGTTTCTTATATATATATTTTTAAAATAATTAATTTCTCATTCAAAGTTTGTTTATTCGCTTATCTCGTTTTAATTTAACAGAAGGTAATTAACTAAAAAAATTTTTTTTACCTTTCTATCAGGTAACGTCAGCAGCAACAAAAATATGGTTAATAAATGTATTGCATATTTATTTTCAATAACGAGTTATTTTTAAAAAATATTGTTAATATTACTTTTTGCCTTTAAATTTGGGGAAAATTCTGAGCGAAAAATGGAGAATTATGATCAAAACACGCGATTTCCAATCAAAATACGAAGAAAATCTCACTACCTCCATCCAAGCAAACATTCCTGGTTCCGGCCTAGATAGCCATAGGATTCGGTTTATTGTCCAGCGGAAAAAAAAGAACGGGATTAAATGTTCTGCGATGTCACGTGGAATGAATACAATTCTAAAATCCTTCTAGATACCCCGAAATTTTTTTTTAAAAAGATGTCATATTAATTATAAGTTTCGTTTTATATAAATTTAGCCACAAATTTTTTATTTATTCTATAAATTTTCTGTAATTTCAATCCAACGCTATTACAATATTAACTCTGATAAATAATCGCTGTTGTTAGAACCAATCCAAATCAAGTGTTGAAAAATTTGCTGGTAATGAATTGTTTCTTTATCAGTTGACATTTATTTACCCCATATTAGTCATCTGCTTGTGTAAAACAAAACTTGTCTTGAATTGGAAAGAAATAAACTGGGATTTGATATTAAAAAAATTTATAATATAAATTTCAAATATGTCTATAAATAGCGCTACAGCTAAAATGTATCGGCATTATATTTGTAAGACTAATTTTTTTTAGTTTTTGACTTGTTACAATATAATTAATATTGAAATAAAAATTGATAAATTTGTAATTTATGATTAGAAAATATGGATAAATTTTCAATTAAACGCGTTATATTAAAAAATGCGATGTTTATCACACCCCTAGTTCGACATTTTTTTAAAAAATCTTATTTTTAAAAAATCACGCAAACTGACTGTAAAATATAGTAGGTCACCTTCATTATTTTCTTTATATTTAAAATGGATACCTAAAAAAGATGAGACCAAACCAATGACATATAATAATACCTAGACTAACGATGCATTGATTAAAAGTGAAGATCAATAAAAAACAGCTGGAATCGCCATTTTGGTTACTCATATCGTTATTAAAAATTTTAAACGAGAGGCCAATTTATTCTTATGCCTGACGCAAACTTTATTAAATAATTTCCTGATCATCGAGATAAGGAATCAAGTTATCAATTTAATAGTAGTTTTTTAACATGAGAATAATTACTATATGGGTTACCAAAATGAGGGGGGGAGGGGTCGAGCTGATTTGCATTCAACGACGTTTTCAAATGCATTATTATGAATAAATCGTCAGTCTAGGTATAATTATATGTCATTTGGACCAGACATGAAAATAAGGTATAAAAATTCATTTATTATTCAATAATCAATCATATATTAAAATAAAATTATAATTTCTTAATTTATTTAAAAAAATATAATATAAATAATATATGCGTGGGAGCTTTTAACCACATTTAAAGGTAAAAAAAAATATCTATTAGATTAATAATTTTTTTTAATAACATTCAGATATTTTACAATAAATTTGATGACAGAAGATAAGAATTTTATTCAAAAAATTATTGATTTGAAATAACAGATTGTTCATTACTGTCAGTCATTTCAAAGCCAGAATTGTGATAGGATGTGGTAGGAATATTTTCGGAAGAATGTGGGGTCGGGTTATCCACCTCGATTTCTTGATCATTCATAATATTTTTGACGCTGTAAGCATCACGCTTACTCAACGAACTACCTATGCCGATGTGGTGGGATATCACGTGATTGCCATTTAAGGGATGGGTCTCGCATAGTGATTTCCGCCCATCACCGATAAAGTTAACAGCCTTGGGAGATTTTAGGGTAGCTTGATCGTATCTTAATTTATCTAACGCAAACAATAACAACCCAAATAGGGCAGTAGATGCAGCGATGATGGACGCTAAGATAACTCTCCTTTTCATATTTTCATTAATGCCGATTTCGTATGGAGAGATATTCAGGGCCGCTTTAGCATAATTAGAATCGCTAAAATTTTGTCGGGAATCTCCTGTTGAGGTTTTCACTTTGCAAGTGTATATACCAGAATCTTCGATACGTAAATCAAAAATTTTGAGCCTGTGACTCCTCATTCCACCAGGGATATAATTGCCATTTTTATTACTATGGTCAATACAAAATCTCGTTATACCCGATTTGAATAATCTCCGAGAAAAAAGGGCGTTTTCGTTGGTCAAAGCATTATCGTCGTAATCGTGAGGGCAGGGCCAAGTGATCTCTTTGAGATCAGATGGATGATCACCGGGAAGGTACCACACAGATTCGGTATCATTAATTAATGGGGCCATTTGATTTGCCACGTCGTTTGTCGTGTTAGTAGTATAATTATTCGATAAAGAGGAATCACCTCCGCTATAGCCGTACCTCATCCGTCTCCAGTAACTCGATGCTCCGCATTCTAAGTAGACCTCGGCACCGAGTTTGCTATGGCTGTACTGCCAAATAGCGTAAATGTCTAATGTCTTATTCATCATTCCGCCATTTTGGCCATCAGCTGTTCTAAGAAAAGGCAGATGAATGGTGATCAAGTAAAGAATAATTTTTTTTAGGTTATAGGTACTCATAATAATGATAAAAATGGAGAAATTTTTTTTTTTAAAAAAAAAATCAAAAATTTTATTTTTTTGAAGGTATGTCATTTTTACGTAGTTTTACTTTGCAAAGTTGTTATTCTTTTTTATTTTTGAAAATATATACATAAATTAATACAGAATTTATGTTTACATATAAAATAATCAGTCGAGAATAAATACCTTTAGGTCATTTCATCTAAAATATCATTATAATAATATATAATATCCCAATGTTAACGACTATACATCATTACGTCTAATTTGACGATTTAAATAATATTGGGAGAGAATACTTGGGGGTAAAATATTCACGCATTCTTTTGAACAGTAGTGTCCAAGATTTTCGGGTGGTTTTTATAACCATATTTTTTAAATACCCCCATTTAAAAGACTTTGGCCGGATAACCCTATTAATGTGGGAGATTGTTTAGGAGAAAATTTCTCTACCCCTTGGTAACGCCCACACGTTCGAAAAGAGGAAAGCGCTTAAAACCAAATGGGAAATTAAAAAAAAAAATTATTAGTTAATTATAATAAGGTTTTTCTTTTATATTTCATTCTTTTCTTCTTCCTTATCATGCTAATCCCAAAACTAGTTGGCGGTCTTAAAAACGGATCCTATCTTTCTAATTATCGCTCGGCTTTGGAAAAAAAATAAACACAAATCGGCCATCTTTAATTTAATACATTAAAAGAAATTTATATGATATACATATATTAGGCGATTATGATAATAAATTCCCATTCATTACTTTAAAGTAAACCGATTTTTAAAAACGGCTAAATCAATATTTTATCCAGAATAATATTACGGCAAGCCTGGAGATTTTGCTCATAGATGGCACAAAGGTCTCTAGATATTTATTAGGGAAATCTCGAGGCTTAGGCAATATTTTTCTAGGCTAAAATATTGGGTTAGCCGTTTTTAAAAAAATCGGTTCAAAACGAGCCGTTTAACACCAACTAACTTAAAGTTCATCATAAAATAGACTATTATTCTGTATTTTATTTATATTTCGTTATAAATTTAAAAATAGATATTTACTTACATAAAGCCCATATATTTTCTATATATATAAAAAAGCGATAAACTATTGGGTAAAAATGATTTTAAAAAATCTTTGAATATTCTTTTATAAGTAGTATATCTTTCATACAACAAAAAAAAATTGCATTATTTTTGAAATCGTGATGAAAATAGAAAAAAACAAAACAATGAAATGAAATGGTTGAAAATCAAACGCGCTTAAACAGCTGTTAATATATGAGCATTAAAGTAGATGATTGTAAATACTATATAAACTAGGGGTTGTTTAAAAAGCCAGATTAGGGTCGATGAATTTAGATATTAGCCAAAATAAAATTATGTAAACCTCAATGACATATAATATACCTAGACTGACGATATTCATTAAAAGTGTACATCAATGAAAATAAGCTGGGGACACCATCTTGGTTACAGTAATCATTATTAAAATTTGAAAAATCTTTTATATTAACATTAATCTGGATCATAAAATTAGGATAATATATATTTGTTGTTTTAATTTCAAAAAAATTAGAAAATATACAGTAGTTTTTAACATGAAAATGATTTTTATAAAGGTTACCAAAATGTCGGGTCCAGTTGATTTGCTTTTAACTACGCTTAAAAAATGCATTTTAATGAATGAATCGTCAGTCTAGTTATATTATATGTCATTGGTAAACCTTCAAGATTTAGCAAATAGATATCCAAAACTTTCTGCTATCCATAAGCAATATCTCTAGTCTTTCACAATATTAATTTAGTTAATAACTTAATTGCGTCGTTATTAAAAAAAAATAGACTCGAATCGGGCTTTTTAACAATTAAAAATATCCCTATTATATGCAAAAAAATATCGTATTTGTTTTACAAAAAAAAGAAGTGAGATCTCATTTTATGGATAAAGGTATTTGAGAATTGATTATTGTAAGTTATCATCGTTTTCACTTTTCGTTATGTATGACTTTAAAGACACTCCTGGTGACAGCTTTTTGGGGGCTTCTTTTGCTATGGTCATCGGTGTCACCATTTTGGAAAGTTTTATCGGGAGAACGTGATTGGTCAAGATTTTTTTTGTAATATTCCGGAAATAGGGATTTCCAATCCAGGAGTGATTTCAATTCGGCCTCCGTAAGTTTCTAAAAAAATAAATAAATATTATTATTAATAATTTTGTTGGTTGAAAAATAAAAATATCACGCATTAAAATAAGAGTTGTATCGATCCGATACCATTCGATTAAACTGCCAATCAGTTTTATAATAGATATTTTAGGATGAAAAATAAATAATAGGATAAGTGGGAGAAGGCCAGAAATCGCTTTGATAGAACTTACAGTATTGTTATTCTTATTTATTATTTTATTAAAAAATAATTATTGCGAAATATATATTTGTCGCGAGCATCAATGAATGATCTTTGAAATTTTATGTGTGGCATTTTTTTTAAAGGAATTATAGATACGGATAGTTTGCTCCAATACTGTGGCTAAATATATTTTTGTTCTCTTCTCCCGAGCAGATTATAGAGGTGTGTTGGAAAAAGATTAAGGATTAGAGTCGGTGTATATTTAGAAAAAAAGGTTAGGAGTGTTGGCAGTAGACGGAAAGCGAAGATAGAGGGAGATCTCGATAAAGGGATAATATAACGATATTAAGTCCAGAGTTAGAAATGTCTGTCATTAGACAGGTTTAAAATGGAGAAGGAAAAATTCACAAGTTTGTGAGCGCTCCTAAATTGAATAAGAATGACAACACAATCTAGCTAAAGAAAATGGTTTATAATACCAAAAATTAAGAACTTTATGTGATATCAAATATAATAGCTTTATAATAAGAATATCATCTCTGGCCACAAAAATTTGGTTTAAAGAATCAAGTCTTTTAGGCGAGTTGAGAGGGGGGGGGGAATGAACTAGGGATTGTATAAATAAGGAGAAAAGGAAATGATCGGAGTATCTTTTTTGATATGTTAAAAAATATATTAAAATATTTAGGGAATAGTATAAATAATTTCACACACATACAAACACGAGGAAAATAATAATAATATAAAAATTATACATATTGTCTATACCATTTATACTATACTGGACAAGTGCTGGGGTAGTGATCAGGAAGAGGCATAGACCTAAATACCTGGTATATGAATCTCAGATCGAATCGCAAGCAGGTACTTTGCCTCCCAAAAAAAATTATCAATCCACGTAGAATGGGAAAGATAAGCAGATTACGAAAGGCATGATTAGTGAAACGAATAGATTTAAGCGACTAAAACATGACTCAAGACGAGTTTTAGTCGATAAATCGACTAATCTTACCAAATACTACTTAGATGTGCATACGTTTATGTGCCCCAATTTGATTTTTAAATAATATAACGGATTCGGTAAGAAAAAAGTTATATTATCGAACTAAAAGATATACCACGCTTAGATTCCTATTAAAACTAAATATAATTTAACATTTTTCTACCAATAATAAAAAAAAATATCGGCGTTAATCGGCTATATCGCTCATCTTATTCGACTAATTTGCTCAAGTTATTTTTTTTGGCTCGGGGTGATTCGAATACGTCTTTTACTCGTGGTAAGAAGAACTATGCAAGTAGTGTTGTTAATTTTAAAAACGGCTAACTCAATATTACATCCAGAAAAATATCACGCAAGCCTGAAGATTTTGTTCATAAAAGGAACAAAGGTCTAGACATTTATTATAGAAATATCGACTCAAAACGTGCCGTTTAACAACACTATATGTGAGGCAAGATCATGGAAAAGAACACAACTAAAAATGGATATATTAAAATCTATTCCCATGTAAAATATGTTGTGAAGAGGTTATTTTCCAAATTTAAAGCTATGGCATCGTAATCCCGGGATAGTTTTTTTTTAAAGCAAAATTAACAAAAAATATTGTTTTTTGAAAGATCCGTACGTGATATAAATGATTTAAATTTTAAAGATTTGTTAGAACTCGACAAATATATATGAGTGATAAGCTGTACGAAAACGTGGTGATATTATGTCTAAATATATTAGGGATGTACCGATATTTTTTATCAGATCGGATCGATATTTCACCCATTTTTAAATATCAGTTATCGGCAAATATTATAAAATTTTCCGCTCACCTCCCATAAAAAATAGCGTTTTTAACAAAAATAAAATATTATAAAATTTAAAAAAGAAGTTATATCTAAAATCCATTTATTTTTATAAATAAAAATCGAAATTAATTTTTTTATGCCTAATTTTTTAATTATAATAATAATTAATCAATAAACATTCTGCCATACTGCACATTCTGTTAATGAAAGTGTGCGATAATCTCTTCAGAATCATTTTTTAGTGAAATTGAAAGTCCCCATCGCTGCAGATTGACCTCTGATAAACTGGAAATTTTGTAATTAAAAAGAAATCTTCGATATATTAATTTTAAATATAAATTTAAATATTTAATAATATATTTGTTTATTACTTATTATGTTAATAGATTAATGTTATTACTTATTATATAAATAAGTGATTTATCGATAAAAATATTTAATATACTTTTAGAATTGCAATTGAATTGAATATAAACCATAACTGATCATTATAATATATTTAAATGACATTATGTTATTGGTATAGTTAAATTATAGATGCTATACTAATAAAATAATAAATTAAAAATTAATACCATTGATATCTTTACAAAATACAAAATTAGATATAATATCGGATCGGTAATCGGCCGATATCAGTTTATCCGATATTAGTTTAATATCGGATCGGCCTCCAAAAAGTGGCATCGGTACACCCCTAAAATATTTCATTATTATTAATGATAGCCTAAATAACTGAAGCATTCTTCTTTTTTTTTATATAGATCTATTCCGATCCAATCCTAGACAAGATCCGCGCTGCAGAGAGTCTTAAAAGCAAAAGTAAAAAAAATTTCAACATACCATATCAAACTCTTCGTCACTCCCCTTCGATGTTCTGCGCCGTTTGTTGTTAGAGGCGTGATGATTGTTATTTAGGTGCCCGTCTTTGGTACTCGTTTTGTATAAGGATTGATATTCTTTGGCCTTCAACATGTCTATCATCTCTTTTATGGTGAATGGGACGTTATTTTCGGAAAGGGTTAAATTCTTGCGACTATCTCTAAATTTTTCTTGAGGGATTATTTCGGATAAAATAAAAAAAAATCAGTCATTTTTTTTTACATTTAATAAGGAAATATAAATGCAAGTTTAAAATTTTCCAAACTGTTTAATCATGTTATTATGTGATATTTAATCAATCAAAATTTGGTACGATAGAGATAATGTTTATTTAAAATATTTTAATACAAAATAATATAAATATTGTACTAAGAATATAATTAAAATATAAATAAGAAATAGTAAAAATAAAATTAAATCTGATAATCGCATCTCTTAAAAATAACAAAGGTAGTATTTCTACAAAAAATATCGCTAGGATAGTGATTTTGCAATCCTAGACCAGAGCCAGTAGAACCTTAATAAATAAAAATGAACCTACCGAATGCGATTTTGTTTGGATGTGGTCTTAATAATATTCAAAATTTCAGGTGAAGCAATGGTAGAAGTCTTTTTCAAATGGGATTTTATTCATACTTCCAATCATGATTACAGATGAACCTGGCCCACCGTTATTAGAAATGTATTGGGTTACCAGTTTAAACTAATGGGATTCAAAAGTAGATTGGATTAATATTAGACCAAAAAAATCAAAGATGATAACAAGCGAGTAGCTAAATCACGTGTTTCATGTCATGAATGGTCTGGTTAGAGACTAATAAAAACTTTAACGCATTTGGAGCCTCATCACTAAACAATGCCAAAGAATCAACGATTATGATAGTAGACCGAGTTTCAATTCCAGTAAAAAAAATTTAGAGCGGTTTCTGTTTCCTAAAAATTTGATTGACGCGGTTCTGACAGTTCCAGGTGTTAAGCTCTGGCTAGAACCCTTTAATATCTGAAGATATGAATATCAGATTTTTATACTCCTTCAAATATAAAAACAAAAGATTTTTGTCAACACTAAATCTAATATTTCGTGATGAAATCACAAATTAAATATTTTTTTTATTTGATCTACCCTTTACCATTTATGACTACTAATGAGTAGCAATAAAGTTTATTTTTATGACTTAATGGTTAACTTTTCCTTTTATAAAAGAATCAATTAAAATTTTTTTAAAAATAATCCTTACATTTACTTCAATAGTCAATAATTAAGGCTGGATGTTACCCAATTTTCAAAATAGTATTTTCTATCAATTTTTTCTATTCCAATAAATTCTTATGTCACAAAGTGGTTACAAAATATGATTTTCTTCTTATAATTTTGCATCTGATTATATATATATTTTTTTTAGAGGGTAAGGACACCATTGATGGTAAGCAACCTTCAAGCAATTATACCTCTAATAAACGATTTACAAATCCCTCCATTTTATCTAATGTTCACTTTGTCGGGCACCGTGAAGGCTCTAAAGTTAAATTCTTATCGATTCATGAGCCAATTTTATAAACCAAAGAAAGCTTATAATTTTAAAAAGAATATATGACCATGAAGCCTCATAATTGCAGCTTTAAAAGCATTCCTTGCGGGTTTTTGTGGCTTTGTCTATGATTCCAAACAGTATTCTGAGCAGGAAAATGATCATCATCCTATCTCGATTTAGAGTTAAGAACGCTAATTAAAATTGCTTTGCTTTATTTCATACCAATGTATAATGTAAAAAAAGTATATTCACATGTTGTGACTTATATTTGGTGACAAACCTCATTGTGGTAATAAAATTAATTGATCAATTATCTATTAAGTAACAGGGAACGCCTGTAAATTTTTTTTCCAGAAAGTCAACAAACATTGAACCTATTAAAAATCTTCAATTTTATGATCTTTAAAGACTCTTTTGATCAAAATTTTGGGGTAAAATGAATCTTCCAAAAATGTTTGTAATTTTGTATCTGTCAGTTTATAATTGACACATTGTATCAATATGTATTTTTTTTTGGAAAAGTTAGTTTTTGTTTTTTTGCATCTTTAAATTACATGCTCTTCGTGAATCTGGAGAATATTAATTTTTCCTATTATGTAATGGAATGATGTATAAAGAAATAAAGGATGCTATAAAAAATAGGTTTATTACAATTATTTGATAGTAGCCGATTAAAGACAAAGAATTAACAGCGTTATTATTAAATAGAGTTTTTTTATTATAATATAATTTATAATTTTTAAACCTTTGGGAATGACCATTTTTTCCAGCTTCTTCTTGGCGAATGCTCTATCTACCATAAGCTGATCGATGGTGTTTTCGGTCACAAGCCTATAAACCACGACAGGGTCATTTTGACCTATTCTGTGACACCTGTCTTGGGCTTGCAGGTCCGACTGTGGATTCTTTAAAATAAAAAATAAGCATAGAAAAAAATAATTAATCGATATCGAATTCTTCTCCGTTTAAAGATTTCCAGGTTCATCCCCTAAACTTATGATTGAACTAGGCAATCTACATTATTACATAAAGATGTTTCAGATCAACCCCCTCACCCAGGGGCAATGTATCCACAATTTTCACTAATGTAAATGTTGTCGAAAGAGTTTCATTTGAGAGTATATATAAAATGCCTCATAAAAATTATATATAGCATAGATTAGGTTTAAACTACTTGGTTTAGTCTAATAGATAAAAGCTTCTATATCCTCCCCTTCAAATTTACCTTCCAGAATCAAGCATTAATTAGAATATTGTAGAAAATTCACTCGCCTCAAGAAGTTCACAATAATTTTGATATGGAATGAAAATAAAAATAATATGATCTTTTTATTAAAATATAAAAATTATAACTTTTTTTAATCTTTACGCGATATTTATATATATATATTATATATATATCGGTATTAAGTTACTGCCTTAAGTAAACATTTTGTCAAAAAATAATATAAATTGATTCGGTAAATACAAGTAATAATAAAAAGAAAAGGTAATATAATACGTGAATTGATTAAGCAAACACCATTTGTTACTAATCTGTAACATATATAAATAGTTATAGGAATATAACCTAATCAAATCTTGACCCAGAGAAAATAACTTATCCCCCCCCCCCCTTTCCTTTCTCCAAATCAATTACTATATTGATATTAAATTGGGACGAGAAAAAAATTATTTTGTTTTGATTGCCTTGTTTCTCAACCATACACGCATATAAAATGTGGGGAAAAAATGTTTCCAAATTTAATTGTTTTTTTTTAAAATTATTAATTACCCAATCGCTATCGTATATAATAACGCAATTAGCCGCGCTAAGATTAATGCCTAGGCCGCCGGCTCTAGTGCTTATAAGGTAGACGTTTATCTTTTCCGGGTTTTCTTTGTGTTGGTCTTTTGTCGTACTTTCCCCCGAACGCCTTTTTCCTTTTGCGGGCTTTTTTTCGTCACCGTGTTCCGCCGATTGAAACGCTTCGATATCCTCTTTGCGTTTTTCTAGAGCCGTTGTGCCGTCGAGCCTGGCGTAGTTGAGGCGCCTAAAATCGCAATAGTCCTCTAAAATGTCTAGCATCGATGTCATTTGTGAAAAAATGAGAACCTATTTTTTTTATATATATGTAACATCTCTCTAATAAATTAATTTCCAATCTATTTTAAGGAGTATAAAATATTAAAAAAAATAATCAATTTAAATTTACATATTATCAAATACGAATTAATATAATAAAATCGACATCAAAATAAAATAATTTTTCTATTTGACGTTAACAACCGAAACAAATAATATAAACTTATAAGGTTTACTAATTAATTAAAATACTTACATAACCCTCTACACATTTTTTTAAAAATATAAATGGGAAAACCATAGATTAAGTCTCCTAATTTTAACCTGTTAACTTAATTAATTTTTTATTTTTCCCCTCTTTCTTTTTTTTCTGTGATACTTGATGTGGGGATTTTTAGTTCAGAATTAAGAATAAGTATGTATTTTGGTTAAATTATAAGTAAAACGAGTGAATAATAATAATATATAAATTCTTCATTCATTTTCTTTCATTTTTTCGAGAAAACATCTTATGGGTTAGGTCTAGTTTCGAACTACGAGGAAATATTTAATTTTATATATTTAAAAACCTTATGTCCAGCTTTAATGAGTCGGGATAGGAGTTGATCTAGTATCATCATTTTGCCCGATACTTTAATCATATTTTCGTCTATTGGATAGAGAAATTTGGCATCCACTAGGTAAGGATGGTTACAGCATTTCCTTAGCTTCATGTAAATATTGGTCAAGGTTATTACGCTGATAGAACCGTTAATATTGTCGCTAGGATGGCTATTGGACGAATTGCGATTGTCGGCTAAGTTTTGTGTATCATCCATATCTCTTTATATATATTATTTAAATAATAAATATCAAAATTAAGTGGAAATATACAAACATTTTTAAGTTTTTTTATTACCTCTGTTGTTTTTATCCCTTTTCATCCGCTTTACTGTCATCCACCCAATCTTTTCTAGCCTTCCCCGATAACACCTTAAACTCTGATATTGTTGGTTACTTTCTTACGCAATTTCTTATAAGATTCTGATACAAATCATTTTCCTCTTTTAAGACCAGCTTACTAAATTATCTAGTAGAACTTAACTGTTATTAGAATGTATACAACTTACTTTCCATTTTCCGAGTGTTACAAATTGAAAAAAAAATATATATATAAAGACTTTGGTTTACCCTTTCATTCACGCTAGGTGGGGTAATCTTTTGTATGATAATACAAAATCTAACCTACTTTAGAGCATTTTTGTTTATTATATTCCATCTTTAAAAAACTATGTCATAACCAATGAAATATAATAATACCGACACCCCTTCATTAAAAGTGTCATTAATGCAAACAGCTGAGGACGCCATTTTGATTAACCATATCATTATTTAAAATTTTTAACGAGAGACCAATTTATTCCTATGTTTGGCGCAAACTTTATTAAAGAATAGCCTCATCATCGAGATAATAAGGAAGCTAGTTATCAATTTAATAGTAGTTTTTAACATGGGAATAATTACTATATGGGTTACCAAAATGGAGGATCCAGCTGATTTGCATTCAACGAAATGCATCGTCAGTCTAGGTATTATTATGTCATTCATTGGTCATAACAAATAAATTTGATCCTTTTTAAGGGTTATAAAATATAGATATTAAATGAATTAATTACTTTCTATAATCCGTGACTAAATTCTCCCAATCAGCGATAGATTTAGTCGTTTCGATTTGATGTATTTTTGAAAAATCCACCTTTTGGGAAGACAACCGTTTATGAATTTTAGGAGGTGTAGATTTTAAGGAATCTTCATCGTTAGTATCAATGTCGGAATGTGAGGTATTTCTTTTTGGACTAGATATCTAATTTTTGAAAAAAAATAAAAGAAATTTTCTGATTGGTCAATTTGAAAGTTGTTTTATTTTTTGATTTAAAAAAAAAATAGGAGTAAAATAATTCAATTATCAAATACAATAACTGGCAAATAAGCTATTTTCTAGAGAAGAGCAAATTTATCTGAAAAGAGATATTTTTCTTTTATCAGCAGAATACAAAAAATCTGATATATATTTTTAAAAAAATTGCAGATTTTGATCATTTCATATGTATGTAAAATAAAATCTAATTAATCCATAAATATAAATAACATAAGTGAAGTATAATTAACGTTAAAGTATAAAATGTGATGTATCTAGATACTATTTTAGAGGTATCGGTATCTCTTTTTTTATAAACATTTTGATGTTATTTTATTTTACGTTTTTTTTATATATTAAAAATATAATAATATTTGAATTAAATTCATTTTTATTAACATATTATTCTAACGCTATGGATGAACAATAACATGGTAAATTTGTTACTATAATTTATTTTATTTAGATTAATTAAAAAAATATACATCATATTTTTAGACATTAAAAAATCAAATAATTTAATATCAATTTTTACACCCTTTAGATGATATAAGTTTTGGCACTCATCAAATTTTGAATAATTTTTTTTAAAAAAGCACTCAAATGCCATAGTAGAGAGAATTTTGTGCAGTGAAAAATTTATAGATAAACGGGGGGGGGGGGTGCCGTAATGATAAAAATCTTAAGAATGTTTTATTATTAATATAAAATAATTATTTTTAATTATTAAAATCTATTAGCTGAATTTAAAAATTTGAATTTTAACAATAGATTCCTAAAGTAAGTAATATACACACACCTTACATAAGCATGATAAAAATTGTATCTGTATCTAAATAAATTTTAGACGATATCTATTTCTGGATCCATTTAAAATTTCGAAAAGTATCTTTTCAACAAACTCTGAATAATTAATGATGGAAAATGGCAATAACTTTGAGCCCAGACAAGAATGTTCTCATCTTGCGGACTTGGTCACTGATATCTTTCTCCAGTATAGCCTTGTAGAGTTGAGCCTGGAAAAAATCGGAGAGGGGTGAATAGACTAGAATCTCCTTCTTAGGGGGAATGTTGAAATCGACATCGCTCTTCATCCGCCTCAATAAAAATGGCGCTAAAATCTTGAGAGGGTGATGGGTATTTTAAAAAAATAATATATTAGTGGCTCTAAAGCGCTTCAGTTTTATAAAGTTTGATTTATAAATTATTATATATATATATATATATAGTTTCCCCGAGAATTGCATATCCACTTTTTGTCAAACTTAAATCAATTTTTTATAATTATAATATTCTATCTAACTAGGTTAAATTATAGCCAAGATAAGGTTGGGTTTAACCAGTTATATTGTATACAATAGAAACTTAATTTTTATATTGCTTTGCCGTAAAATTACAAAAGATGAAGATGGAATTATCAATTTCTCGGGCTACGATATAGTAATATAATCTATTGTTTTTTAAAAAAAATGATTTTTAAAGTTAATTTTTTTTCATGTCAACCCATTCTTCTTTATTAGGTAGGGTAGTCTTTATGCCACTTCCAATATTGGACTATTTCAAAATGTAATTATTTTTCTTAATAACTTCTAACAACTTGGGGAGGGAGGGGACATTTGGCGGGATAATATTGAAAAGTTTTTTTTAACCAAAGATCATCTTGATCAGCATCGCAAAATGGCTCCTTTCGAGTCGGTTTTTAATAAACGACCAACTTAGTATTTTATACAGAAAAATATCAGGGCAAGTATGAAGATTTTGCTCCTAGATGGCACAAAAGTTTGAACATTTATTAGAATATTTCTCTGGCTAAAATATTGAGTTAGCCGTTCATAAAAATCGGCTCAAAATGGAGTGATTGATTGCGTAACAAAAATGATTACTTGTAATATAAGGTTGAGGGTGAGAGGACCTAATATTTTTGAGCTTCTAAAAAAAACATTAAGGATATGCCCATTTGTAAACTTGTATAATCTGGGCTATAAAAAATTAATTTACAAAGATTTCCAATTTTTCTTAATGAATGGCGGATACCTATAGACCCGCCATTTTTTAAAATTAAAAAATTTTTAAATTTTTCTACCGGGTTCAAATTATTCTTATATTATTTATTTTTTTTAAAAAATTTAGATGATTATTGGTCGAAACTTGGTGAAGCATATTAACGAATTTTTCTTCCCTCTTTTTGATGACTATGCCGTCGGGGTTGTCATCCTTCAAGTTTTGGCACATTTCGGAGATGTCAAACCAAGACATAAAACTATTTTATTTTTTTTTAAAAAAATAAAAAGAAACTTGTTTTTAAAATTAAACATTTTCATTCATTCATTTAGTACGTTGGTCAACATAAGACGCGTCTCTGCGCAAGAATTATGCAAGTTTTACAAGAAAGCCGTCAAAAACTTGTCAATAAATTTATAGTAAACGCGTTATGTTCGAGCCAATAAATGATAATTCTGAAGAGTAAAATTTGAAAAACATATGTTGCGATGATAAAAAAATATGCGATATGATTAAAAAATATAATAGCGAATTCGATATAAAAAAAGGTATATGATATTTCTGAAATATATAAAATTATCTCCATTTTAGCTTTATCAGTTAAATTAGTTATAAATTCGATATCGTTAAATAAGACAACGCTTGAAAATAACGCGTTTACTATATAATCAGCGTTACCCAAGGGGCGGGAATTAAAAATCCCTTCCTAGTTGTTTAATCACATATTAAGTAAAATTTAATATTATATAAAATGTTATAAAATATAAAAGCTTATCTTTTAAAATAGAATATTCTAGAAATGGGATAAGGATTGCTTCCTTTTCTTGCAACTATTATCACAAGAAATTCTTGCACGAATTATAATTTTTTTTTAAATATATTGCCTGACCTAAAAGATAAAAAACATGTCTAAAATATTCGGGGATTCTCTCCATTTTAAAAGGCAGACGATTAATCTAGATTGTAAATAAACTAATTAAGGCCTAATTTTTTCATAAAATATAAATGCGTAACAATATCTTCTAATAAGGAATTTTTGCAATTATATTCCTCCAATCAATCACAACATAATTGTTTTAAAATATAATGCCAAACCTAAGGCTAAGTTTTAAATTCGGAGTTTTCTCATATCAGACTTAATCAAGTTTTTAATTAAAATAAAGCCTGATGTTTTAAAAAAATATAAATATAATATCGTCCGTCACAGTCGTTCTAATAAAAAATAAGCGTCAAATAATGTATTCTATAAAGGAGAAACGTTGGAAATTGATAAAAAAAATTCTGAGTTAAAAAACAGAGCCTTTTTTAAGAAGAACACAACGCTAAACGCTTCGGCTCAATTTGTAAGCATTATTAGTGTTGATTTTGGAAAAGAAAAATAAATAAAAGCAAGACCCAGAATGCTCTACATTGTGTCAGAGCTTTTTAGACTCCTCTATTCCAAGGACCCAGAACTCCTGGAAAATATATTCAATTACAAAATGGATACTGACTATGCGCCTTAAGTAATAGGGTACGCCTTAAGTAATAGGTTACCCCTGAAATTTCGATGTAGGGCGCCATGTAGTATAGATATTTTACTTCAACTACTGAGGTGGTTATATTTTAGACCGAGGAGAAGGGGGTATGCACTATTTTAGACCAGGACAGAAATAAACATCTTAAATAATATGTTTTGAACGAAATTATTCTACAATAAAAATGCCAAAAAAATATACAACTTACATAGTAATTCATGGAAAAATATAAAATACAAATACAAAAAAACGTACACTGACAAATCGTCGAAAATTTCGGGGACTAGAAAGTTGAGCAATGACCATAATTCGCCCAAATTGTTTTGCAAAGGGGTTCCGGTCAATAAAAGTCGATTGGCGGAATGAAAACCTTTGAGCACCCTTTGATAGATATTAAATACATTTTTTAAAAAAATGGAGGAAAAAGATAGATAAATTGTTTCATATGAACATTTATAACCTTAATCCCTAAACTTTGCGATAATCTCGATAAGGTTTTAATTGTGTAGCAGATTTAATTAAAACTTCCTTCCTCGGAACGAACATAGCCTATCTCAAGGAAATTACCGTTACAACTGCGAATTTATTTAAACGCCTATATATATAATCACATGACCTGCCAGATTTGACAGGTTATTAATAAATCATTTTTTTTATTTTTCTTTCAAACTTTTAGCTAACACTAACCCATATCTCTTTAACCATTAATCTTACTCCTTAATTCAGCTACTTGTTCAATTTTGAATATAATTCACTCAATTTAAAAAAAACAACTCTTTATTCTGAAGATTCCTTGAGTTGAGCTATTTTGTCCCCCATGATTAACAGACACGGTTTATTAACATTTTTTAAAGAAAATATAAAACGTACAATATCAAACATTAGCTTTAAGATGACACCATGTAAGAATGGTCCATATTTTTGAGACTTGCAAAAATTGTCATTATATTACGAAACTTTTAATTCCATGTATCATCGTTACCTAAACAACATGCATTTATAATTCTTGATTCGGTGGCCTTCGTCGATGATGAGGTAGCTCCAATGAAACCGATTCAAAAACGCTTTATCCCTGATGGCGATGTCGTAGGAAGTGACTACTACGGGGAGGCTTTGCGTGGCTTGATTCCTTTTGTCGAAAAGTGGTTGCAAATCTTGCCTGTCAGGACCGGAACCATGGTATAAAATAACGGTAATCTATTGGGGAGGGGGACGGGAAAATTTTATTTAAATTACGTTGAAGGATGTTATTATTTTTTTGTTAGCTCTAATTTATTCTTTGAAGGAAGCGTCCAAACAAAAAACAACTCAGGAAAATCGCATCAAAAATAGATTTATAGCTAATGAAAAGAGTTTTTTTTTAAAAAAAAGAAGAAAGAAACTTTGGAATGCAATCAAAAGTTGCAAAAATATATATCATTTTCCAAAAAAAAATTTTTTTTTAATATTTTAATTCAGAATTTAAAAGATATTTTTTTCATGGATCAAAATTACAAAAGATTTTGGCCATTTTAGGATCTGATAAAAAATGTCTATTTTGAAGATATTTTTTTTCTTCAAAATTCTGTTTCAAGGTGTTTGTCCTTTAAAATAATTTTTTATCGTCTGTTTAAGTAGTTACGTATAATTTTGAAGGATTCCCATGCTTTAGGATGGACATAGTTGGGATCTGATCAAACAAGATTTAATAGCCAAGCGATTTTTAATTTGTTTTTTTTAAAATGAGATCAGATTATTATTATCATGAATAGAATTTATAATTAATACCAATAAATCTCAATAAACATATTATTATTAAAAGGAATCAGCTGTTGAATAGTGTGTATACCAAGATGAATATAGCCTGAAAGATATAATTATTTTACATGCAATATATAAATACAATATATTTAAAACTACTTCATATAGTTCATGCCGAAGACCTCATACATAGTCAGCATAAAAGCTCTCAATCACAATGTGTAATAAACAAGGATAAATAAATAATACAGCTGTTATATTGTTTATTTCTACTCACCCAATGACATATAACACCTAAACTGACGATGTATTCATAATAATGCATTTGAAAACGTCGTTAAACGCAAATCAGCTGGACCCGCCATTTTGGTAACCCATATAGTAATTATTCTCATTAAAAATTACTATTAAATTGACAACTTGCTTCCTTATTAACTCGATGATCAGACAATTCTTTAATAAAGTTTGCGTCAGACATAGGAATAAATTGGCCTCGTTTAAAATTTTTAACAATGATATGGGTAACCAAAATGGCGTCCCCAGCTGCTTTTCATTCATATACACTTTTAATGAATGCATCATCAGTTTAGTATTATTATATGTCATAGTACTCATCACATCATACAATCATCTTCAGGGCTAACTATAAATGAGGGCGAAGATTGTAAGATTTTATTTTAAAAATAATAATAAATCAAATTGACACTTTTGGCGTGAATCTTTCGAATTCCTTTATCCAATTAGGGATGGTGGATAAAGGGGCGATAATCAAATAAGGCCCTTTGACTTTGTTCTCGATCAGATGGGATAGAAAAGCTAAGCATTGAACCGTTTTACCCAAGCCCATTTCGTCGCCCAATATTCCGTTTATCCCATTTTCGTATAAAATCTTTGCGTTAAAAACAATAATAAACATTTTATATGAGCTTTATACAAAAAAAAAATAAAAGAGGACTAAAATTCATTGTAGCGGAATCTTAGGCCTCGTTTATATTAAGAGTAGCGTGAAATACCGCGATTTTGCTGGAGAGATGCGTAATTTATAATTTACATAAAAAAAGGAGGGGGGGGGGACTTTTTTAAAAAAAAATATCTAAAGTTTATCATGAAGCTATCATTGAATATTCTAGATTTTGTGAATTATATTAGAATTAGATAACTAATTATTAAAAATTTGAGAATTTACATTATATTATCTGTAATCAAATATAAATTCTAAATGTAAGTTTATGCATTTGATGTTTTTGGAATAGGGCTAAAAAATGAACCATTATCCAGTTACGTGAATAGCTATGAGAAGAATGCGTGCCGGAAAAAAACGATTTTACATAATAGGAATTTTTTTAAGCATTTAAAATGAATGCAAAGCAACCTCAGATATTTTTTAAATTGCTACTACAAAAAATAACGTGAAGATATATGGACCCGGGACTTTTTTTATTAGTCTCCTATTTTATGATAAACCATGTGTCTGCAAAGTGTCATTCATTTTTCATACCTTAATATTTAATATGTAAGGTGTCCTGGTTCGACTTATTTTTCATACTTATTGCTGTTCAGCTTAAGCTAAACAGCTGCATAACTAAAACAACCATGTTGCCTTTGTTTTAAGTATTTGGTGGCATAGTTTATTTTGTATTGGTGGGGAGGGGGTATCTTATTGTTAGGTTGAGGCTCTATAGCTGGCTGTTAGGAAATCAGAACCAGCAGTGGTGTCAAGGGAGGGGTGTACAAGGGCTCATGTCTCCTAATTTTTTTAAATATACCCATAAAAATTCAGTTTAAAATTGTTAACTAAAAAGGTCATTTTTAAACATTTTATCAAAAAAAAAATTATTGTGTGTCCTTCTCTGCAAACCAGGACATGGTCTAAGCATTTCTTTAGAAGCAAAAACTTAAATTTTAACTCTTACAAATTAAAAAAATCTGTATATTAGAGGTTAGTATAATTTGGAACAAGCCAGCCCATAAAAAATTTCTATCTAAGTCCAGTTCATAAACAGGCCAGTATAATTTTTCATGAAGGAAATAAGACTAAATTATTGTAATTCTCAGATTTGAAACATTTTCAATACTTTAGTCTGGCCTGTAAAAAAATAATTTGCATAATTTGTTAGTCCAAATATTTTTCAAAGCCATGTCAGTCTGTGGCAACCTCTATTATATACTATATAAATAAAAATAATTAATTCAATGCATGTTTTGAATAAAATTTGAAATTAAATGATTTTAAGGCCAATTTTGGCCAAAAAAGCTCATTATTATTCATGATTTATAAAAAAATTTAATTTAATATAAAGTTAACTTATTAAATATCTAAAATATTAAGTCTCAATCAGTTTTGAAGTGAAGGTGAAATTATATCCCACTTAATATTATTATGTTTTCTGAGTGCTATTTCTATATTTTATTATATTCTCATTTAAAGTTCTTTTATTAAAATGTGCAAATCTCACAAAATTACTCTATATAATAAATAAAATTATATTTAAGATGATACTTTTCAACATTAACTTTTAACAAAACATCAATATTATCATTTTTTAAAATTTATTTACAATTAATATATGTACTTTATAACAGGTAAAACAAAAATAATATTTAAAAATCATATTGCTTTGTTTATAAATTGAGTAGAACTATTCAGCATTGTGTTATTTTTTAAAAAAGGCCTTGTATTATTCTAAAATGAAGTAGTATTTTCTAAAAAAATGGTGAAAATCACAAACTTATTTTGCATTTTTTATAACACAAAAAAATTTAACAATTTACATGTTTACCATTTAAAATTCAAAACAAAAATGCATTAATTTGTAAACATAATTAAAATACGTGAGGTATTTATATCCTAACTTTAAAAATACTGCAATTCAAATGACACTAAGTATGATATCATTGCTTATGCAATTATGTCATATTTTTTTATCACTAAGTTGTCATTCAAAAAATCAGTAGAAAAATATAAAACCTATTGAAATTAAAAACAATGCATAAATATCATTTATGTTTATGCCAAAAATGAGATAAATAAGAGTTACTAACAATGAGCCATTCAACACCTTGCATTTGGTAATCTTTCAATTGGCCACCAGTAAAAAATTTGCTATGATATTTAAATGTATGTGTAGTAGGAGAGTATTGAGTTTTTGTCCCTTTAGAATTTCTTGAATGGGATTTTCGCTAATTTAAATATTTCATAAAATTTAGGATTATAAAATATTTTTTAGATAAAATTTATAATTCATAATTAGAATGTAAATTTGAATTAAGTAAACTATTCCAATTATATTATATATTTATTGCAATTAACCTTATTGGAAGGCTTATTTTCATCCATTCTTATCAATGGGCTTGTAGGAGCCGCACTGTTTAATTTGGCAAGTAAGAAATCACTATAAAATTTGCTTTTGTCTAAAAGTTTTTCTAATTTAGAAAATCTATTATTGTCATCATTTAAATTCTGATTTTCTTTTTTGTACTGTAAAAAAATATATTAAATATCAATGAAGAAAATTTAATTCAATTTTGAAAAATAATTCTTTTTTTTAAAAAAACTGAGTTTAATTATTTAATTCTTGCCCTATTAAAGATAGAAAATAAAATATTAAGTCATTAACCAAATGGCACATATATTTTTATATTTTGAAAATTTATACATCTGAAAATGAGAAATTACATATACCTTTTCTAAATCTTTCTCAGCTTCTTTCATATTTTCCTTATCTACTTTCTCTTCTTCCTTTAACATTGTTTTAGTAATTATATTGTCCATTATTATTTTAAAAACTCTATATAAATTATTTTGCAGTGAGCAAATAGAGCATTTTTAAAAAAATCATATGCTCTCTGGCGCTAAATTCGTGAAATGAGATTGCATTTTTTATTATTCCTGGAAATAAACAAATAAAATTATATGTTAGAAATATATATTAACCATACCATTATCTAATTAATTCTTTATATATTTTTCACCAGAAAACTATTTATGAACAAGATTAATAAATAAAACAGAAATCGTTGTTACTTAGCTTATTAGTAAGGTGAGAAGTCAGGTTAGATGTTTTGAAGAGTTGCATCATTTTTTAATCATGGATATTGGCCTGTATTATCGTATTTGTTGGATTTCTAGGTTTATAGATGTAACCAGGTTCAATCCAAGCATGTCTTGTCAGAAGATCCATCTTACTCAGAAATGAAAATAATTACCTAACAAAGTATGGTTTTATTAGTTTTTACTATTTTGACCTTTTCCTCATTTTGGTTGTCTTACATATAAATAAAACAAATAATTCTTATTATAAATGTTTATTAAATACTATCTTTATATTTATTATGCTAAAAGATATAAACTAGGATCCTAATAATCAGTGACGAAGTGTCCAGTTTACTATTAGGGAAGCAAACGATTTTTTTTTACTTATATTTAGTCAAACCATAAAAATTTAAAATATATAAATAAGTAGAATTCCTATTTGTTTTTGAGTACAATGATTAGGTACTTAATTATAAAAGTTATTGCTAGATTTTAAATTTTTTAATAAGTTTTTTTTTCAAGCCAAATTTATTAATAAATTTAAATAAAAAATTTTTTTTTACATTAAACTTATAATTTATTATTAAAAGTTAGTTAAATATCTATAAAATTATTTTACAAAATTCTAAATAAATTTATTTGCTTAAAATAATTTTGTGCATCAATGGTTTTGTTTAAAATTAATGGGCCTCATGGCTAAGCAAGGATATATAAATTCCTTTGCATGATAAAAATATCCTTCACAATCTTGAAATGATATCTAAAGACATAAATGGGAAAAAAATAATATTTATATCTTTTTTTATATATATAATATTATATATTTTTTATTGTATTAATCTTAATATTTTTATAATATATATATTTTTTAAATTCTATGCTCATCCATATGAGATAAAATTTACACTTAAATATTTTTTTTAGATAAAAAAGCGTTAAATAAAAGTATATCAAAATGTATCTTTAAAGTATCTATAAACAGATACAGATACCTCTAAAATAGTATATGATACTTTTTATACAACTCTGATAATCTTAATAAATTTTTAATATTTAACTAAATTTATTAAAACATTAATTATTGCTTTTAAAAAAGAAAAAAAATTTTATTTAAAAAAAGTAATGAAAAAAATATAATATAAAATTTTTATTTCTCTTTTACATATTAAAAAAATAAGCAATTTTTAATTAGCTTCCACAATGCTTATTTTTTAAGCGTAAAATTACAAAATAAATTCGCATGATTTTCTCTTTATTTATTATAAAAATAAGCAATATTAAATTTGCTTCATTCATGTATATTTTTTAAACATAGTAATTTTAATAGTAAATTTTTTAACGTAGTAAAAATAATAGTAATTTTTTTAATGTAGTAAAAATAAAAAACTTTTTAACGTAGTAAAAATAATAGTAACTCTTGTTAACGTAAACGTAGTAAAAATAATATTAATATTTTTAATGGTATAAAAATTATATTAATTTTTTTCAACGAAGTTAGATTAGTTTTTTATAATATATTATAAAGATTATATTAAGTTTATTTAAGAATTTTGCAGAAAAAATATCAAGAATGGTAACCCAATACTTCGTTTTTTTAGCCTTCTTATAAGATAAAAGGGTAATCAATAATCATAATTAATTTCATAAATATAAAATATAATGATGGTAATATTGATAATAAAAGAGATTAACCTTAACAAAAAAACCTATACTTTTACACATAAAATAGATTATATTATATTTCTTAGGTCATTCGGAAACAAATGTTTAGAGACAATAGATTGGAAACCCCTAATCTTAGATTTTGATTAATAACTTTTGAATAATAGATTAAATCTATCCATTTGAACATATGAATCTAGATATTGTTTGCAACTCTAAACCAGATTGTATGATCGTATTTATCATTTTGGATAGTGCAGATTGGAAAACAGAGAAAAAATTAAATAGGGTTGTGAATAAGGATTTAACATCATATTTAGAGAATAAAAAACTCAACTAAATTTGAATTATATTATTTATTTTTAAATGAATCCATTATATTAAACATATTAAATACTAACGAATGAGGTCATATCTGAAATCCATATAATATATGGTAAAAAAAAGAGTAAAAATCTTTTTACAATTTTTTGATTAATTCACTAACATCTCGAAGGCAAAATACAATAAATCGAAAATCTTAACGAATAATATTGCAATATATTTTTTTAGGAATAGTTGTTGGGTAGATTAAATTATGTAGGGCCCAAGGAGAAAATGGTTAATGATGCTTGGTACCTTAAGGTACCATCTATCAAATTTGAATTTTGTTCATTTTTCATTTGGATAGGCACTACCAAATATATTTATAATATATATTTGAAAAATCGTGATTTTTGGAAAGCCTCTATGGCCTAGTAGGCAAGAGCTTGGCTTACTTATCCTAAGCTCCCGGGTTCGAATCCCAGTAATGTGTTTTTTTTCTTATTCTAACTTGGTGGTTCCATCCTTGGGGGGATGATATATAGAAGGCCAGACTCGACCACGTGATTCCGTATTAATATATTAAATAATAAGGGTCTTATTACATTTAAATAATTTTTGGTCGGTATTTAGCAAATTAGATTTGTATTTAAAATATTTCCATACATTCACTTGGTAGTAAGCATCATTAACCGGAGAAAATCGTTTTATTAAATGCATGGCAGAAATGCTTGTCAGTTATATTTAGCATCGAAAACAAACCTACTGTTTACGTTTATGTTCTTTTTTTAGCAATAAATGTATATTACATCAGATTGGGAGGGAAGGGGCAGGATTCCTATTAAAAATTTCTAAGTTTTATAAATTACACTAAAATTAAAGGACTTCGAAATAATAAGCATATAAATCATAAAAATATTTAAAAGAGAAGCACTTTAAAAAGAAAATAAATTATATAAAGCTTACTCAAAATAGGCTCCTAACGCCCTGTAATAATTTATAGGATAAAAGCCACCCAAGAAACTCACTTTCTTCCCTTAAGAATATCCTAATTTTTGCAATGTAAAATCTTTTTTAAAGAACACATGATGAGGACGTAAAAATATTTGTGCAAACAAAATGTTATACCATGGATTTTTAAAATGCACCCTAAATAAATTTTATCAGTCTGTATTTTAACCTAATCCGAATCCAAACCTCAAGAGATTTTTTCATGAAACTTAACCCAGTTCCTCACAAAAATTATTTTTGCACCTAACTCCTAGGAAAATCTACTACCTATTTCTGGAGATATAGATAAAGTGATATCTAACTCCTTCCCCATATGTCATTACTAAAAAATAAGTTAAGGATCATTAATAAAATATTTGTATATTTCAATAGTGTTAAGAAATATGCAATTCTTCAATAATGCCAAAGATATACATTAGTAAACAATTCTATGTACTAACTAGTACTACACTGTAGTATTTGTTATGATTTTTTCTATAAAATGAAAATAATTAGACCTATAAGATATTGATTTAAATGAATATAGTGTGTCTCGAACATATTTTTTTACTACCCCAACGGAGTTATATGTAAAAGGTTTTATTATAATAATATCTATATATTATTTGGCTTCTAGTGGTAGCAATTGCCAATATTTATCCGAACGTGGGGGGGGGCGTCACGAATTAGTCCAATCGTTGAGCCAACGTGATTCACGTGCAGGAGAATTTCATATATCGTTTATAGTTGTCTTTAGCTGCCTCTTAATAGTTGCGTGGGATTTAAATTTGTTAATTTATAATATTCCATAAGTTTCAATTGGATTTATATTCGGAATTTAAAATATAAATCTTATTTTTAGACACCTATTTTTTTTAGTGGATTACATTATATAAACATGGGGTCCCGCTTAAAATACACTTGCACAATCAAGAAAAAACATGGGTTATTAGGTGTGGATATGAATCTAATTTTTTTACAATATTTCAAAGCTTTTATTATGCCATATATAAAGGCCTGATTTCGATACCCTTGGAAATCTACATATCATAGTATTCACTGAATATTTAACCTTGCGTTTTAAGCAATCCTTAAGAAAAGCTTTATTCTTATTAGATTCATAACATTTATGTCACCTGTAAGTATAAGGGTACTTTATTGTTCAGAATCTAAATAAAGTATTGAGCCCTTGTATTATTTTTTCTGAATATAGTCAAGATTAAAGAATATGTTAGGGGTAATAATAATTAAAGGAACCTTTAATTACATTGCAAATATTGACAATTATTCTAGCTCTAGATAATAGAGTTGTCATTTCTATGACTTTGATTAGACTTATTAATATGCCCCTTTAGTAGCCCGTTTCGTTGCATATCTAGTATCGGGGCCTTTAACGGAAACTTCAAACATATCTATCCTTACTTCCTATTCTTATGAGAAGATGAGAGTCTTCCCAAGTTAGA